ACCATCCTTGATAATGTCATGTTAAACATTTATTACTCTGAACTTTTGCCACGGAACCCCAGACACTCCTTTACGGAACCGCTGGGTTCCTCGGAATTCACTTTGGGAACCTTTGTTTAGAGTTTAAACTAACAAGTTAAAGTAAGCGTCTCTCACTAATAGTTATGTAATAACTTTATTGAGTTTTCATATTTTGGAATGTAATCCCGCTCTTTTGCAGTGCACTTGATTTTTATGCCACGTGGACCGCGGCACACGGTTTGGGAACATTGATCGAGGAGACTGAATAAATATTATAATCCTTTGATGGTCTGTGATCATGTAAACCGCGGAGATTTTGCTCGCATAGTCTTTGAGTCCTAAGACATCAAAGATAGCCAGGTTTCTAACGTAACAAATTTCTTTTCATTTCTTTTGAAAAAAGAACAAATCAAAGGAAACTTTGGTCGCAACCTTTCTCGTCTAAAATTAGAACTTAGTCATTTCAGAATAAAAAAAATAAATAAATTTCGAATTTTCTTTTAAATCACGCGTAAATGTTAATCATGTTTATATAAGCCGACTCGGATTGCATTAAAAACACACGCACACACAGGAACACTAATGTGCAAAAATATTCTTTCGAGAATAGCAGATTAAATCTGAATTAAGATTAAATCTGAATTAAGATTCAGTAATATTGTATTTAGGATAAACTGTGGAATAATGGCGAACGGCTCAGATTGAAGAATCGGAGAGCCAAGTTCGAATTCCAGTCGAGTTCATGCACTTACGTGCCCTTGAGAACGGTATGAATCTATCTCTTCTCCTCCTCCCCCCCCATAGCTATGAATAAAATAACAGGACAGATTGAGGCCTATAAGACTTGGGTGGCAACCAGTCTAGGAGAAGGAATCCCAACCGGATCGCACTATCCTAAAGTGTGTATATATGCGGCTAGGGGCCGCTTATGAATCCCAAATTCCCACTGAATGAATACAACTACTACGCTTGGTCAGCTTTCCTTCGGATACGGCATCAAATGGAGCCTAATATTCCAAAGGGAATAAGAGAAACTAACTAATATCGTATTTAAAAGTCTAAAAATAATTTAATGCTTGTTCTTTTTCTTCTTTTTATGTGCCATGTCCTTTCAGGACGTAGGCGATCACAGCTCTCCACCTCCCTCTATCCCTTGCAGCTCTCAGCAAGTTCTTTCCCTCTGCTTCCTCCCCCAGACCACGTTCGGTCATCCACCTGCTCAAGTTCTCCAGGTATGTCACGCGCTGCTTTCCCTTGTCTCTCTTTCCCTCTATTCGACAAAGTGACTATCAGAGTCTCCAGACCCTCCTTCCTCAATATGTGTCCCAGAAACTTCAGCTGTCTCTTCCTGATGTTAAGTATAAGTCTCCTCTTTGTTTGCGAACTCTCTAAGACCTCATCGTTGCTCACACGCTCGCTCCATGATATCCTTAGCATCCATCTGCAGAACCACATCTCCGTCACCTCGAGTCTCTTCTTCACCTTTGAGGAAATCGTCCAACATTCGCTGCCGTAAAGAAGAACAGATGACACGTAACAGCTCAGTATTCTTTTCTTTGTTACCAAAGAAATCCTCCTGTCTCGCAATACCCTGCCCACCTTTTGGAATGTGTTCTTGGCCATCCCAATACGTCCACAGATCTCAGTGTCGCACTTGACGGCCTCTGTCAAAAACTTCCGCGTCTGCTTCTTGTAAACAAATTCCTAGTTCACTTTGCGTTGAAAACAGTGAACCTCCAAACAAAAACAAAACACTATAAAAATATAAAAATACATTTCTATTGTAAAATTACCAACAATACATCTTTATATAAAAAAATACCAACAATACATATTTATAGTAAAATGACCAACAATACATTTTATCTGTTGCAGAGGACATACAATTGCGTTCAAAATATATTTAGTTGAAGAATTTTGTTCAAAATATTTACATTTCGGCATTAAATAACCCATAGAGGTGTTGACATGCCGCTAAACAAATTCAACCAATCAAATCGATTTTTGCATGAGTATGTACTGTAGTTAAGAATGAAAGCAAATGAACATGAATTTGTAAAAGATTAAGTGGGCTGTATGAATCTGTAAAAAAAAGTGGACATTGATTCTATGAGATTCATTTTGGGGAATATTTAATAATATATATATTCATAGCTCTGTGTGTGTGTGTGTGTGTGTGTGTGTGTGTGTGTGTGTGTGTGTGTGTGTGTGTGTGTGTGTGTGTGAAAACTAATATAATATATATGAGTTGAGATTCAGATGAGAAATGTATAATTATTTCTGGCAAAAATAGTTAAATATTCTGCACTAATCCCAGCTGTCGGAGTTCGAGCCCGGTTAAAAAAAAAACGAATTCCGAATGCTGCTTTTTTAGGTATATAGAGTTGGACACAACCTTCCTATCCCTCATTCCCATCCTTCTGCCTTACTATTTGGCCTCGTTCTAAGCTAAAGTTATTAAATGTCTAAAAACTAGAGAAAGTGCCGACTTATATGACAAAACTGAGAAAGGAAAGAGAAAGATAAAAGACGGTATTGTTAAAACGACAACCATGATCTTCCTGATGTCATCAGTTCCCAAGTAGGCATTTATGCAGATGACACTACTATTTACTCCTGTCTCAATAGCAAATCCATCAGAGCTGGCAAAGTTAACCTGGTCGCAGCTCTTGAAAAGGACCTCCAATCTGTGGTTAAATGGGGCAGGAAATGGCTCGTAAATTTTAATGCCGCCAAAACGAAACTGTTCTCATTTAACCATCATAGTAAAACTATCCTGTCTGCCATCAACATGGCTAATGCTAGACTTCTGGAGAGCAACACACTGCGCCTTCTTGGTCTCACGTTTTCCACTGACTTGAAGTGGAACGACTACATCGAATCAATAGCTGCATCAACTGCAAGGAAATTTAGGTCACTGTGTCGTACCAGAAGATTTTTCTTGTCAGAATCCATCTTGCACATTTACAAATCTACCATTCATCCAGGCATTGAATACAGCTGCCATATCTGGCCTGGTGATCTTGCTATTCATCTTGAGATTCTTGACAAAATCCAGAGATGGATCTGCAATGTAATCGATCTTGACTTAGCATCTCAATTCAGTCACTTTCTCACCGACGTACGTGGTTTCCCTCTGTCTTTTCTACAAATATTTCCATGGCAACTGTTCTGACGAGCTTTTATCTCTGGTGCCAGGACTATGTGAGTTTAAGCGTGCTACTAGATTGGCATCTAGGTCCCACCCTTTTACTGTTGAAATAGCTAAATGGAACCGCCACTTCTATTCCAAATGTTTCTTTTCTCGCACGTTCCGCCTGTGGAACTTCCTTCCGTTTACTTGTTTCCCTTATAACTACAATCTTCAAAAATTTCAATGCAACGTGAATCGCCATCTTCTATCTTCATGAATCCCGTTCATCTTTTATTATTTCCTCACTCCCCACTATACCCAGTCTTTTCATTCTCTGTAACCTGCGTACTAGTGGCATTCCTGCCTTGCTTGAATATATATATATATATATATATATATATATATATATATATATATATATATATATAGTTTGAACCGCTATACTAGTTTCACCTTGGGTTGAAATGATTAAAAAAAGATTAGTTGAATTATGTTTTTTTGTTGCGGGATGAATAAGGGTTTTCTGGAAAATGAAACATTGAACGGAGATTTATTTAGCCGAAGGAACAGTAAATAAATCATGAGATTTATTTCTTTTTTAAAGGAGAGGGGAAATCAGAAATTTTAAGACAAATGGCTTTTGTTTAAAATAGAAAAAAAACCCTGAAATCTTGCTTCATAAAAACTATTTTTGTCTTCATCAATCTTTAAAAGGTAAGAAAAAACTTCAAGTTGTTTGTTAAATTCAGTATTTTACAGCTGCGCTCCTGAAGAAATCCGAACTTCTCGTCTTATCATGATTTTCATTCTTTTACTACATCTACCTCTTTTTATCGATTCGCTACACTACATCCATCCAATGTTGCACACAGAGCCTTGTCTGAAGTGTTACGTTTTCAAGGTCGTTAAGTGTGCATGAATCTTCAAGATAGGGTGAAAAACTAGAAGATGCTCCATAGATTACAATTGCCCGCATTAGCAGTTGGGATCATCATCGATGGCATATCACAATTTCTAAAGGCTGTCTCTACAGTGACCAACAGATATTCAGGGGTAATTCAGACATGACCAGAAGGGTCAGGCATCACTGGAGACAGTGGGGGTAGATTCTGTATGACTGAGAGAGATTCATGTTCCACGTTGTTAAGGTGGCTGCACCTCAGGGACAGACGCTGACTCGCAGCTCTGTTGTTCAGTGGTTCGCTTAAATGTAGAAATCCGTGTCTTGATTTGAGCCTCTTTTTCATTGGTTCACAGCCGTGGAGCTTTATTACATGAACCATTGTCAACCATTATTAATTTTTGACGAGTATTTTCTTTCATCTTTTCATATTTTTTCATCGCAACCGATTCAGACCGTCAGTCAACAGCTGTCTATAAATAGTGTGAATCAAATCCGGTTCCGAGATAATTATATCCAATGTGACGCATTACAAAAGGAAATCCCTCTTTTACGTATCTTCTTGGCAAAGCCATACTAGCCTAACCTCATTCATCCAGGCTCAATTTGATCTGTCCTACGTAGAAAGCTCTGTTGTAAAAGATTGATCCTTGTTATTATTCAATATTTCGCAACGGATATATTTTAGTCGAAAGGGAAGACACACAACTTTCATTTATATATGTACATTTCAAAAAGCAGTAAATTTTCAACGAACAAAACCCGTCAGCGTCACGGCTTAGAAAAGAGTTTAATAGACATGTTTATTTTATTATACAATAACCTCGAACTATTCACAAAGTTAAATCATTCTAAGACAATTATTTGCTTGTGTTTATAAATATCCATAAATATTCGCTATTCATTGCTGAAAACATTTCTTTCTTGTATATAATCTCATTGCAGGGCATTGTGGTAGACGATGCTAAAGTGTTAAGCACTGACCGCCAGAGTGATTATGGCGTGATTCATACCATCAATAAGGTACTCATCCCGCCAGAACAGACACTAATGGGCCTTATTCAAACTGACCCTGCACTAAGGTAAGTAGAACAAGGTGACAGTATTTCTATCACTTCTCTTTTTATGTGCCTTTCAAGCTCTCCGCAACTTCCTACCATCCTGGGTATGACGATAAACTACATCCGGCAGCAAGCCCTCTGATCGGGAGATTGGAGGTTTTGAGGAATCTGGAACCACCTCTTAATTGCTGTTGTTCCCAGGTCCAAACTGAACCGAGGTGGTAGCACCTGTTAGGGTCTCAGCTACCGGCAAATATTGAACTCCTAAACAAAAATCAGTCCATTTTTATAATAAAATGAGCAACAATGCATTTTATAGCAAAATGACAATCAATGTAACACTAAAAAATACATTTTTATAGTAAAATTACTAACAATAAATTTTATGACTTAAAAATTATATATCTAAAAAAATGAACCTTTACTCGAAAAGTATAAAATTATATACAAAATATAATCAGTTGAAACCCTAAAATTGCATTCGAAATATTTAGATTTCAGCATTAAATAATCCATAGAGGTGTTGATAAACAAAATCAACAAACAACAAAAGCAACTTCCTATCATTTGTTGCTATTTAATCATTTGCCATCTTTGTTCTTGTTTTGTCAGGTAATTACTAAACTAATTGCTTCTACCCATGTCTAAGCGTCTGTGCAGGGGTCTACAGGAAACACGATTGTGTATCACATATGCCCTTGTCAAGAATGTCAATTGATAATCTAAATACAAAAACAGCGCCATTTATTCCATGAAAAAAAAGTCTACATTATTTACAGTAGGACTATTGTCTTTATCTTTGTTGTTATCATCACAACGTTTCAACCGTTTTGCCCTGCGGCCTTCTTCAGGTGCTTGGCGATCCGAGTAAGCTTAAACTAATTTCGAACTGTAACATTTATTTAATCTACGGATGTAGATTGTTTCAATGTCCATATATTTCTTGGTAAGTGCATGTAGCGAATCACTACATAAAAATGATAATAAAATCCTCATATTAACAAGGTTCGTTCAAGGTCGGGCAATCAAGTAAAGTGTACCCAGTAAAAAAAAATGGCAAATTTATTATCACTGTTTTATCTTTCAGGAATAACTGACCTTAAATAACCTTGAATAAATTTCTTGAATATTCATGACCTTGAATAATCATTCGACTCTCGCAAAATTACATATCTCTGTTTCTTTTATGATAAATTAATTGCTGCTCGATGTTGTCAGTCGTCATTTAAAGGTTATTTGTAGACAACTTTCGCCTTTCGTTCTGCCCTTCTGGTAGGGCTAAACAGCTCATTGATTTGGGGCGTCAAGTTATCGGGCATTTCAAAGAACATCTGACGTGATGACTGATGAAATGTTCAGAAATTACTCCTGAATTTTTGAGTCACATCAGTCGTCACCACTTTTCAACGGTTGTCTTATGCTTTTTTTAAAAATTTACCGCTTTTTTACTGGGCGACCATGTAATTAGGGTCCATATTTTGCAATTACACACGCTAACGATTAATCAAAGTTATCCACATACTACGATCACCTACCAAGCCATAAGAACATATATAGATAGATAGATAGATAGATAAAGATAGAATATATATATATATATTATGAAATGGGCTAAGTCCGACAATTATTTTAATACATTTTCTCTTTAGACGTTATTTTTATAAATACAGTTATTTAAGTAAATGCTCTGTTTATAATAAACAGGTAGAACAGAGGTTCGATTCCTGTCGGAAGACATATTTTCTACGAAATTTCTCGGACATTCAAGCCGGTAAATGTATTTAATATTGTTTATTATAAAACAGAGCATTTACTTAAATAATTGTATCTATAAAAATAATGTATAAACAGAATAGATAGATAGATAGATAGATAATATTAGTGGACAATGTGTGTATATATATATATATATAAATATACATATATATATATATATAAATTCCCAAGAGGATAGAATTCAGGTAGAACTCAATACCCAGGACAGAGTAAGAATATAATATAAAAGGCTCAAACACTAATATTCCATGGTTATAATTTATTACATTGGAATCATAATCACGATCCAATTCATCAGACCTACAAATTAAAAAAAGAATATATTAACGTTTGAGCCTTTATATATATATATATATATATATATATATATATATATATATATTATTTAAATCTCCAAAATTTCTATTACTTATATATACATATATATATATATATATATATATATATATATATATATATATATATATAAAGAGAATATGAAATGTACGTAGACATATAGTCTGTAACCTAACGATAAATAAAACACAGATGTTATGAAGCAAATATTTATTTTTCAACATAATATCCTTCTGTTTGAATATCTGAGATGAAGTTTTATCATTATTTACATGGGTACTAATATCCTCATTTTTGTTCTTGATATCACGTTTCGGCCTTCGGCTTTTTTATAAATTGTTGGGGAATTTCCAACTGAACCTAAGGGACAATAGCCTAGTGGATTAATGTGTAGGTTCGTGAATTTGGTGACAGTAATTGTCTGTTCAATCCTTGAAATGGATAGTGCAAACTTAGACTTAATGGTAACAGTCTACTCCCCTCTGTAGATTAAATAAACGGCTCAGTTCGAAATTCCCTGAAGGTTACCGGTACCAACAAGAAACTGAAGAAGGACAGAAAGCACAATGATAGAAACGTTATGCTAATGACAACAAAGATCAGGATTTTTGTCCGAATATAAACAATGTAGATAATGATGGTTCATTGTTCCAGAAATTCAACCAGAACTTTTGTTCTTGTACATTATAGATAAATAAAATCATTTTCCCATAACCGACTGGACAATATTTTCAATTATGTTGGTTCATAGTGACATTGAATAATGGATAATGTGGCAGTAGAATTGTTCTTTGTTTCCATATAAGGGTTCCTCATCGCAATGTAATGAAGCACAAGCTGAACTTGTAAATAATTTGTAATGAGTTTCAATTCTCATTGAGTGCCTTGTACTTGTTACGGCTTTGTTCCAAAACAAAACTACGCTTAGCAAATAACAATTTTGTTCCCATACAAAATGACTATTATTTATTCGTGTGACATATATCCCAGACCGCCGCTTGTAGAAAGAGGCAACTTGCTCTCCAGCTTGGAAAAGAGCTAACGGGTGGCCATCTCAAAAAGCCTCATTCCCCTCATTGGAATTGAATGGTTTCCACCTCATCTCTGTCCCATGAATAATTTACCCAGCAGGGTGATATAATCATCGTGATTTGAATTGAAAGCTCTGCGGTTTTCGGGTGGAAAACGGGTGGCTTAATGAGTGTGACATAAGTTTTAAGTTCCTCCGGCTGCATAGTGAACCACATAAGGGCAGGCTGTAAATTTAGGCTAAATAAACAAAAATATTTATTTGATCTATTAAGCGCATTTCTCGGTAAGTGCATGTGGCGAATGATAATACAATCCTCATATTAACATGGTTCGTTTAAGATCGGGAAGCTAAGTGGATAAGGTCAAATCTTTTGCAATTTTACACTCTAACGAATAAATACAACATATCCACTTATCACGAAGGACATCATATGAATTCTCTGTTTCTCACTCTTTTCATATATATATATATATATATATATATATATATATATATATATGCCCGCATGTAAAAATCTATAATAAATACTCTTGGTATTGAGCCCTCTTTTGAATTAATGCTATGAATTTTAGAATTTATATTATTTTCGTTCCCATTACATTTTATATATATATATATATATATATATATATATATATATATATATATATATAATTATTTATTTAAAAATATGATTCCAACTCGCGACATAAGAGGTCTCATGTTTCAAAACAAGAGCCGAAAACTTCAATATAATTATTTGAATTAAATTAAGTTAAAGTGAGCTCCGTCCCATCTTTTTAAATAAATAATTATATTTATGCTCTACTTTGTATCGAGCACTATTTTTTAAAAAATAATAACTAAAAAAACTAAGGAACTTTGGATTATTTACCTAACCAGTTCCTTCCTATTTTCTATATATTTTCACACATATATATATATAAATATATATATATATATATGTATGTATATTGATCATAATAATATATATATATATATATATATATATATATATATATATATATATATTGATAATATTAGTGGTCAATATATATATATATTGATAATATTAGTGACCAATACATATATATATATATATATATATATATATACTGATATTTACTCAGGCGCTGTATTATTCAGTCGCTGTGGTTGATGACCATTTGTCCATTCACAGGATGCAGTCCACATTTTTTGAGTATCCCGTATCCAAAGATGTCGGAGAAAAATATAAACGAGAGTTGCAGACATGGCTAGATAACGGATGATTGCGACCGTACCCCCCCCCAAAAAAAATGTAGGTTCCCCCGCCAAGAGGTCTAATCCCATTGATGGCAGTGATGCAAGGAAACAAGAGGAATGTGCGTCCTATGTTGAACTACCGTGAACTGAACGAGTACATTGATGTTCACACAGCTGATGCCGACGTGTGTGTACAGAAGTTGAGAGAGTAATGGCTAAAGAGCGTCTCATGTTTCTATCCTTGACCTGCGGTAGGCTTACTTACAAGTGGACGTACACAAACCGCTTTTTGTCCATTCCAGACGATGATATTCAAGGGGAGCATGTATTGTTTAACCCAAACTGGTTTGGGTCCGAACACGGCGCCAGCAATAACGAAATCCATCATGGACGCAGCACTTTCTGAAAACGACGCAAGTGACGTCAGCATATATAGACAATATATTAAGACATTTTATGTTTGTACATTCTTTTTATAGATACAAATATTTAAGCAAATGCTCTGTCTTGTAATAAACAGTATTTATAACATCTACCGGCATGAATGTTATAAAAACTGTTTATTATAAAACAGTGCATTTGCTTAAATATTTGTATCTATAAAAAGAATGTATAAACATAAAAATGTCTTAAAATAATTGACGGACTTTGT